TGCCCAACCTTCCTTCCGAGGAGTGGCTGGTGGGTTTGAACCGTCAGCTTTCTGGTTAGCAGTCAAGTGCCTTAGGCACTATGCTACCAGAACTCCTGTCTTTATAATATGCTTTCTATATATGCTTTTGCTTTGAATGAGCTTTCTACCTTGATATATATCACCAAGGTCTCTATGTCCTATTGTTTAGGTTATCAGCTGTCAAGATCTATGATGCACTTCTACATGTATTGTTTCATTATTTATTGATCCATTAAACATACACTAACACTGCCTACTATACGCCAGGCATTATTAGATGTTTGAGTTACAAAACTGAATGGTATACAGACCATTCCTTGAACAAATTTATACTGTAGCAGGATATACAATGAATTAAAAATATAACTACATTATCATGATTAAATGTTACTGACAGAACTGAGTAAAAAGTAAAGGAAGCAGTATTCCACAACATACAAAACTAGGCTATTAAGAGAGCTAGTAGAATTAAAGTATATTAAATATGACAAAGGGAAATACATTTGTATAAAATAAAACATAATTACAAAACTGTGGGAAAATGTTCCAATTATTATTATCCAAGGTAGATTTAAACAATGAGGTAGAATTTCTTAAGAACTAATGATGGCTAGGACTTGCAACAGATAGCAGTGCACTTAACACATTTCTGGCAGCAAAAAATCCTTTTGGTAAACAATTTGGAGATCAACCCAGAGTAACAGATAAATTCATATCCCTTTATTTCAAATTTTACTCCTGGAAATTTAGAAATATGTCAAGTTATCTTTATTTCTTAGAAAACATTCTTTGCAATGTTCCATAATAGAAGAATGACTGAATTGTGATATATGCATTACATAAACATTAAAGATTATGACTATTTTTCTTTTTCCTTGTCTATATTTTCTGTTTTCTCTGTAACCCTCATATACTTCTGTAACTATAAAGAATGTACACCATAGAAAATGGTTATAATAAATTCAGTTCCCAAACTACTTATAAAGTATATCTATAACTACAGTAAAAAGATATCCTTCTCCATCCTTAAAACATACACATGGGCGAGGAATTCCAGAGCATATGCAAAAATAAACATAGTTTTTCGTGTTAAGGGTTTAGATTGTGGGTGAAAATTTTCCATACTGGTACTTTGTTTTTAAAATCCAAAGATATTTATTGTATGATTCCACTGATGTAAAATTTAAAAGTAGGCAAAACTAATCCATGGTGTTAAAAGATAAGATAGTAGTTATCTTTGGGCAGGAAGGTAGCAATCAGGAGGGGTCACGATGGGGAAAATATTCTGGGTTATGAGTAAAGTTTTATTTCTTGATCTGGGTGATTACACATGTGTGTTCATTTTGTGAAAATTCATCAAACTGTACACTTATGATTTGTAACGTTTTCAGCATAAATGTAATAATACTTCAATTAAAAAATTTTAAATGTAATTTTGAAACTTGCTTATTTCAGGCAACTCATTATAAAGTTTGCTTTATTAATCATACAGTAAATGGTATAATATTAAAATGCTTATAAATATGGTGACATTTTCCAAAATCACAACTATTGCTTAGTAGTAGTCTCTTCTACTACTTGCAATCAACATAGAAACTGTAGACTTGGAGTTTTTAGTTTTCATGTCCAGTGAAAAAGAGGGGAAGAGGAGTTTAAGCCTTCCCTAATATTCCCTGTTCCGAACATAGTTAAATAGCTTCCTTCATTATCTCACCATCATACCTACACTACACATTACTTAGTGTCTTATAATCTTTATGCATGTCTCTTTGTACAGTATTATGTATTCCTTAGGCAAATCATGCATTCAGCAAAATAAATGCTCAGAAAATATTACCTGACCTTTCCCAAACATTACCAAAAAAAGTAAAAACAAAGTAAGAAAAAATATAAACCTGAAAAATCTGGGTATTTTACATATTAATCACAAAATTTACAAGAAATTCTATATTCCAGCAAGTTTGCAATATTTTCCAAATGTATGAGAAACCTTAGGTAAAAGTTTAACCTTTAGAAAGAAAAACTAAAAAAAAAAAAATCTGTTTCTTAAACTTGTATATAATCATACATATAAATTTAGAACAAAGCTAAAAGTCCAACAAACCACAAATCAATTAACATTTAATAATTTTAACTACTCTTTTTGCTTACTGCTCAATTTCAAAGTACTATTAATGGAACACTTTTGAGTACATTTCCAGATACTAAAAAATTTCCAAGTTATAGTAATTTGTTATCCCATCAAACCATATATGAACATTTTTAAATCAAATCCTAGGATTTAAAAGCCATAAGGTTTGGGCTACACACACACACACACACACACACACACATACACATACATACATACATACATGGGAGCTCTGGTGGCGTAGTGCCTAAGGCACTTGACTGCTAACCAGAAGGCTGGTGGTTCAAACCAACCAGCCACTCCTCGGAAGGAAGGTTGGGCAATCTACTTCCACAGTGATACTGCCTCAGAAACCCAAAAAGGGGTGGGTATGAGTCAGATCCGACTCGATGGCAGTGAGTTTGACACATATTTGCATGGTTCCACCCAATAATCTGGTGGGAGGTACAAAGACTATGGCAAGATAAGCCATACCATGTAATTCACTACATGGCAGCATCACAACAATACACAAGGATCTACTGGCGGATGGTGGCTACACTTGAGGTACACTGGCCCAAAACTGAATCTGTAAGACAAGAATTTTGAACCACCAATGCCCTTAACTGCCATATTAGATAAGAAAAAATTGTTTTTTAGAAATACTGTTTTTCCAAATTAAAACGAAGAGTCACTTTTTTTTCCCAGAATGTTTGCCTTAAAATTTTAAAACTGACAAAGTAAAATAAAACTGGGAGAGAGACATTCAAACATTTACTAAAGGTGATATTTCCACTAGTTTTCAATTTTTTCTTTGAACTTATTGGTATTTTCTAAATTTTCTTTAAGGAATATGTCTTTTTTTAAAAAAAAAACTTTTTACACAGGTTTTTTTTTGGGGGGGAGGGGAGAAAGGTTACAGAGCAAATTCATTTTCCATACAATTCACACACATTTTACTTTATGACATTGATTGCAATCGCCTTATGTAACAGCTGTCTTCTCACTTCCTCCCTCTGGTTACCTTTTCACTGTGTCCTTTCCTATGCACTCCTGCCCTCTGAGCTATCTCCCTGTGCAAACACTGCCCTTTTGATCACCCATGATCAATTGTTCTAAGGAGTGTAACTACCTGGTATAAATGTTCACCTTAAATGCTTGTCTTTACTTTGACTGGAAGCCACAAGGAGTGACTTCCAGGCCTGAAGGGTAAGTAGGGGCCACAGTCTCTGGGGTTTCACAAGTCGCTATCAGACCAATAAGCTTGGTCTTTTTTATGATGTTGAGTTTTGTTCCACATTTTTCTCCCACTCTATCCAGGATCCCCTGCACTGAACCCCTTTCCAAGTGACTGACAGTGGTAGCCAGGTACCATCTACATCTTCTGGTCTCATGGTCATGTAGGCTGAGGTTCACATGGCCCACTAATTCCTTGGACTAACTGTTTTCATGTGTCTTTGGTTTTCTTTGCACCAGATGAAGAGAGACCAATTGTTATATCTACATGGCCATGTATTACTTTTATAATCAGAAAAAACTGTTTCTTAAATTTATGCATATTG